CTGCAGCATAGATGCTGGTTGTTGAGGCACTGGTCTAAGAGGAGAGAGTAGTGTGCAATGTAGCAAGTTTGGGCACATGTAGTAGATTATGTGCAGCGGTAAAAGCTGCAACAATATAGCGCCCCAGCACGCAGACGCAGGGGGAGCGGCTGCCTTCAGTCGTAAGCGAACATATTCACGACCGTGATGCTGTGGCACATGGAGCGTAGGTGGGGAGCTCAGTGAGTTTCACGTATTCGTGCACCAGCTGGGATGCGCCAAAAGTGAAATGATTCACAAGCTTTTGAGCGGCAGCACCTAATCGAAGATGGGGAGCTCGTAAGCGAGTAATATCTGCTCGTGGTCAGCTTGCACTTCCCATAATTAAAACAAATGCGTTGATGTAACATTGCCCCGCTGGAAGTATCACCAGGAGACGTGAAAATGGGTTCAAGGGGAGTATGAGACATTAATGAAGAATTTCCGTGTTATTCGAACTCAAGTTCGCTGTCCTCAGAAAGGTCTCGTAAACGACACCTACGTACCTGAGAAAACTTGTTGCCCTTATTTACGGGCCATTCAGACAGAAATCAGTTTCCGGGAACTGTTCGTGCAACAGTTTATAGTAAAATAGGCGTACTTCAACGCGAGGGCGACGGCACAGGTCACATTTATATGGGAAAAATTGGCTATATAGGGCCAGAACAATTTTGGCCACTTAGCGCATCTTATATTTCTCGTATTTTGTAAGCTTAAAGTGTCATTTGAGCAATTTTCTTGCAAACAGATATTTAAGCTGGTGGGATAGCTTTGGACGGGAAATGAATGGTTCAAGATGACATCGTAAGCTGCCTGTTCCTCCACGCAAGAGCAGTGGCAGATGCGTGTGCGGATGCCGAAGCGAGCTCATATACCGCGGTAAAGCCAAGCATTATGTATTTTTCTTTTGCATTTATCGAATTTGAGCTCACATTATCACACTATGCTATACTAGCACAACTGTAACGAAATTCTCGCTCTGTACAACAAGATTATAATACTATTGCCTTTCCGAGCCAAACTAGCACTGTGAGCTGTAATTTTCTGTAGCAATTCCTGTGGCAGGAGGCACCCGCCTACCCCCTTCATAAATCCTGTAGCATGCCCCCCCCCCCCCGCCCTGCCGGGTCATATAGCCTTACAGAGGGGATCGTTGCGAACCAGAACAGAAGCGCAGCTATAGAATGAAGTCTTGAGGGTGGCCTTGACTGTCCGGTAGAGCCGGCTTTCCGCCCTTCCTTGCGTCTGTGCTGTCGTCGCGCGCTCTAGAAATACAGTTTACAAAGTCATGAAAAAACAACTATCCTATCAGATAGTTACTTCGTGGTATTCACGTTGATAATACGCCTAACCCTGAGTCTGACAGCAATTTTGAGAGCCGTCACCCATACAGAATTCAGGTCTTATACCGGCCCCGAATTGGCAACATACCATTTTTCGAGATGTCATGTTTGACTCTCACTCTACAACTCAGATTTAATTTACGTCATGATACAAGCACACGGTATGTAGGCGGGGCAAAGCGCTTTTAAGCTGTCATAATTTATTCGTTCTGAATTTTAGTGCCGTTATTTACTACAACGTCACAATGCGCTTTCTGCTAAAGCCCCCCACAGTTGTTTGATACGACCAAACAGTGGTCTCACCAAACAATTCTTCTTGATAAAACTTTACGCGCGACTTTTTATGTAGACACCTAGTGGTCGAAGCAAGCCACCTGGAAACCCTCTTCCGGCCCATGGACTGCAAAAGAGTAAAGGAGTGTAATTATAGAGCTTAACGTTTTCTATATTACGGTGTGTTACTCGGCAAGAACAAGCTCGATAGATAAAGGTGATTTCAGTGGGGTTAAATTAGATTTCCTAAGATGTTCTCAGGCAAATTCGCTCATTATATCGTTTTAGACCCTAATGGAATCAACTTTAACTAAAAGTATTGTGGGTACCGGTTTCAGACAGTAAGTACCCATAAACCGTAGCCCGAACCGGTCGGACACGATCCCGCGATGATTATGATACGTTTATACGCTACTGATACTAGATGAGTTGGATGACTGGACGAGTGCAGAGTGTTGGTGATCGGATGCACCAAATCATTGGATGACCTTGGTAGTGAGGACACTGTAAACTCCGATAAACTATTCACTTCAGAATCTTACTTCTTCTCCTCAAGTGTCTTCGCTCCGGTCTTCTCCCCGAGTGATGACTCTTCCTTTCGCTCCGTACAAGCTTAACATAGCCCAAGATCCGTGTCCTTTATCATAACGCGAGTCAGGCCTAAACTAAATCTTGCGCGTGAATTACTGTGAATCAATACATTCATAACGTACTTTAACTCATACGAATTCGCCATTGACTCATATTAAATCGAGCGAGTAAATATGAATTCATCCTTGATTCCCTTTAGCTCGATCGGGTAAATATGAATTTACCGGCGAGAGAAAATATCAATCCATCGTTGATTTATCTTAACTCACACGGCGAGGTATTAATAATATGAATTGAGTCTGAACTCACTTTCAAACTTCGGGATTGGTTTCAGTCGGATACTGTATAGTGCCCTTGCGAATCTACGTTTTACTTATCTCCCATTGACACATATTAATAACAAGCCCGCTAATGTGAGAGGGCGGGAATGGCTTCTACAGTAGCTCTTAAGCCTAGAAAAATTCAGACAAAACTCAGCGACAACCTATCGTATACCCTACCCTTACGCTGAATTCCGCATGCTCTTTTGGGGATAATGTTCATTTCAGGACTATACATGTGCTCTCATTTTATCTGTACGCTATGAGTATGCCCTATCTCTCTCACAGTAGAGGTGTACATTTTTTACAAGGGCACTGGGACATAAAGCACCAGAACCCCTCATTATTTGCTTAGATGTTCATACTGCTATCCCCTTTAGAAAAACTTAGTGGAACAAGCCAATTTGAGAGAGCTCAAATTTGTCTGACCTCCCAACTTTCGCCTGTTAAAAGCTGTAGCGAAACCTGCCACAACTGGCACTATACCTTACCGGTACCGGTACACCGATTCTGTTCAAGCGCCATAAGGAATTTGCAAAAAAAGTTTCCAATAAGGGTTTTCAAAATTAAAGCACTTTTAATGTTTTCGCTGATTATTCGAGTGTGTAAAACTTACCGAAAAATAACCACGCGTACAGTACAATCTCAAATATTTACGACAAACCGCAGCCGTTGGATTTTAGGAGCTCATTCGAGAAAACGCGCCACGCGTCAGAAGCCATCGCTCGAACGTTTCCGCGCGCTTTTCTCGCGAAGGATAATCGCCCGTCAAAGTAATTTAAATCGTCAACGCATTTAACAGATGTTTTTATACATTAAATATGACCCATCAAAACATAAAGGTATTTTAATAGATGATTTAGGTACAAAATCATTATGCCGTCTAGAAACATTAAATACAATAGAAGATCGCAACGCAAAGCCGACCCTTGGAGGTGCACTCCGCAAACAATGTCCGGCGATACGTACATGTAGTACCTTGCTCGATTTATTTGAGGTTTGCTTACGCGTGTTGCTATCATTTGAAGACAGCCTCGACGACCTATTTTAGCGAAGCCCGTCTTCCCGCGACGACGACCACGACAAAGACTCCGAGCCTGCGAGCGATTCGAGCGAGACTTGCAGGGCATTCTGGACGAAGTTGGTAAGAGTCTTGATTTGTCGTATGCCGATTTATGACCCAAGCTTACTTAATCGATTTTTTTTACGAATAGACGCAGCCCCTGTACGACGCAATGGCAAGGTTGGATACTCTACGGGCTAGATTTGAAGACATTAAAAGAGATGTAATCTATTGCAATTAAACTTTGTTTCAGCTCCAAGCGTACATCATAGCTAGCGAAAGCGTCCAAGTGGAGAAAGCATCGGGCGCAGCAACCAGAGAAACGTCAGCGACGTCGATCCTGGGTGGAGACTACTAGTAGCGGGGGCGAGAGCGTCGCGGAAACTTTGCATCTGCCATCAAGCGACGAAGAGCATTGTGGTGACCCTGGCCAAGGCGTAGGTGTGCACATCCAAGACTCGAGCGCTGACCGCGCGCCCCGAGTTCGGCGCACGGAATCTCATCCAGAGCGAGTTGCGATGGAGATGTCTCTGCGTTATGAACAAGATTTTTCCCCGTGCCGAAGCTTGTTTTTTCGTCGTGGAAGGAGAATATTAATTGTTTGGAGGAATACTGCAGCTATCATTTCCAGTTGTACAGAGTCCGAGATACTAGGACTGTAAGAAAACACAATAGGTGAGTCTTTTTTTTCATTGTTTTAATTTACACTGACGAGTTGATATGACTGATGTAGTTTACGTGATCGTCAAATTTCTATAAAGATGAAGCACAGCTACAAGGTGTTTCGCTGCACGCATGGCTGTCTGCACAAATCTCGCAGTAAAGGTCAGCGTAGTACTCCTAGTCGATACACCGAATGCAAGGCTCGCTTTGCAGCGCATTAAAAGAACACGGCAGAGGAAGGACAGGACGAAGAGTGGCGCATTGTTTTGCGAAACAGGGTAAGCAGTAGCATGTGTAGCGATGAAACATAATATCACCTAACCCAATATTACTGTCTAGACCTGGACACATAGTCACCGCGCAATTACGACGATCTTCGCGAGCTACTTTGGTGCTGGATCAATTCCAGAACATAGTCTGGTATTGGAGCAAGTTGGGCTTCTTGCCGATACCAGCACTGAGTCAAGAGTTTCTATCAGACGCCTTGGATCGCCAAGTAACACCACAGCCAGCGCGCAATTGGAATCAACTAAAACGTCTTCTGGGGAGAAAAACGAGAATTGACAGAGCAATCGCAGGACTGCTCCAGAACCAAGTGAAGATCGTGAATCATTTGCTTTTGTATCTCCGGAAGTCTACTACAGAAATCTGCCTGAATAAGGAACGGGGTTTCAACTAATAACTTCGCAATTTTTATAGTCGGGAAAGATAAAGGGAGATGGGATAGTGATGGGCAAGGTACTGACAAAACAAACCAGGCACTGACTTTGATTTCAATTTAAAAAATGGCGCGCAGTAGGTGATCCTCCTTCGCTTCAAGCCCTACGAGCCGAACTTCATTCCTACATTTACATTCAAGATCACTAGCCGACTGCGTCCTCAGCACCCCCATGTCCTCCAATCGTCTCCGCCTCACCTGGTCCGAGAAGGTAGCCATCCTCAAGTAGGCTGCTCGCTCACCTAGTCTGTCGTAAAATGAGCTAGCTGAGTGGGCGGTTGAAGAGTTTGGGCTTCCAACGGTTCCTGGCAAAATGACAAAGTACCGCATACTCAAATCAAGTGCTGTGCTGCGCGGACGGCCTGTGGAGAAGGCTGTACGATCTAAAGTTAGCGCTTTCACGATTCAGCAGTGCTGCTGAATCAGCACTGCTGGAATATCACTTTGGTCTCTTTCAAAAGTCGAATCTTCAATTTATCCTAACTTAATTCAATACATGCACATGATCCGATATCATAGTCTGTTTCTAGCGAGGCATTGTCAGCTTATGCAATCTCTTTCCTAATTTATATCAGGCGCTCCTTATTCAGGCAGATTTCTGTACCCAGTCTCGAAGAGCAGAATTGATACCTCTTTTCTTGCAGCTGGTTGCTGCGCACCTATCTAATGACGCGTTTGCGAAGGTCTCATCACAGTGGGACCTTTCCATGGTGAGCAAGGCAGAGGCCACGAGTGCTGAAGTGGGTCCAACTCAATCTGAGTGGCAAGTTCGTTTGTTCAGGCACGAGTCAAGTGTCGACGTTTTTTTTTCTGGAGCTGCTGCTCCTCTTTTTAAAAGACCCGTTGGTTCCCTTGTCAATATATCATGATTGTTGCGAGCAAAGGTCACAAATTTAAAAAACTCCCGGCAGCATCAGTACCAGAGCGATGGAGCATAAACATGACAGAAGAACCGTACGATTCGCTCGTGAAAGGGTTAATTTCGATTCGGCAAGCTACCAATATGGTTTAATCTCGAGCTGGACAAGTAAGGCCGCCCAAGTCTCTTGAAGCCCTTTAACCACGGGCACCCTACGGCACAGCCAATACGCAAGCGCCCCGTTGAGTACGTCCGCCTACAAAGAGAAGAACGAGCAAGTATGGTCGTGCTCTCAGATGCTGAAAAATATGCAAGGGCTCAGGCGCTTTTCGAACCCGTGGTAGAATCGCTGAGTGAGCTATCTACTGTTGACTTTTATCAACAGATGACCAAGTGGAAATTTGTTATTGATAATGAAGCTGGTCAAACGTGAGCTACGACGTAATCCCCCCGAAGCTGTATCAGCCGGTATTGATCCTGAAAGCAGTTCCGATAGCGTTTTTGACCAGCTAGATTACGCTGATCTTTTCGCGGATCAGAGTCTGGTAATGGAGGACGAATCGCTAGAACATCCATCTTGTCGACAGAACAAGGTAACAAAAACAAGCGTTGACCCTCTTGAAGAAATTTCTGGTGCCTCCGAGGTGTCGGCCACACAGCTTTCCCCAAAGATTATTACGTCAGACGAGAAGAACTGCGATTCCCACAAAGGTCTGGCAGCTTAGATCGTGCGTGATGAAGCGCCACGCCAGATTTCAGTACTGGGTGTGTCGAAGTGCTTCGATTGACACCTCCAAAATACGGAACCTGAAACAAACTGAAACCTATATGGATCACACCTCCGCCCAAGTTTACTGTAATTTTGGTGTCTTTGGAGGTCACCACGGCTTTGACATATATCATACAATGTGCTAGATTTTGTCCAAACGCGTAGAGGGTTTCAAATGGAATCGACCAATATTCCGTTCGGATGACAGACAAGGTTCTACAAGCTCGTCCTGCTACTTGTGAAGTTGCTCATCAAGACAGCGAGAGCATGGTCATCGATCAACATTTTTGTTATTCCAAAAGCTTTACTAAAAACGCTGATGCGGCAATTCAGCAAAAGAAGGATTCACTCGCGAACTAAACGGAGGACGTCCCGCGGGGTTTACTGATTTCGTTTGGATCTAAAAGCCTTGATCTGCACAGGTGTGTGGAGCCATTTGCTGTCGTAATAAGTGCTTCACGAGAAGTAAAGGTGCTCCAATTTTTCTCTATTTAATTTTCGCTGTCTCACTTTGCTATTTTGCCTTCGCTTTTTTCTCAACAGAATGAAGCAGTTCTACGTACTAAAAGCAGAAGCGAGGGGGTTTATTGAATATACAAATTGGCTCAAGCAAGGGCGATTGTTCAAGCCCACCCTTTCGAGCCCTTTTCGTTGGAGACGAACATAAGTGAATTGATGGATTCTGACAGTGCAAGCATGCATGAAGCGCTGGCGGAAGATGTTCTGAAGAAGTACTCTTCACACATAGTTCATGGCCATATTGAAGACTAAGTCAAGGTCTTCGTCTGTCAAATTTATAGATGTTGCTGCTGGAATACCCTGCGACGTGATAATGAGCGATGTAGTGATCGATATGGGCATCAATATGATTGCAGATTATGTCGAAGGGTGTGTGGGGCTGTCCTCGTCCATGATATGGCCAAATTCTCCAAAGCTATGGCTGTCTGAGACACTGTTCGTAATTCAATGACTACATCTTAGCAGAATACACTGGGGTATTATCATTGTGGAGGTGACATTCCTTACGACATTAAGAGAGAATTTCTACGAGCCTCTCCACCAGCAGTTATATCGGACCGAAATCAAAAGTGTGTGGAAGAACAAGTTGCTACTGTATTTGAAGAATTGACATTCAGAAAATTCCCGCAATAAATATGAAGAGGTGGGTTAACGAGCCTGCGCAGCCCGACAGCTAAGCCAGCGGTTATATGATTCTTGGCGATTGACGCGTTCGTGCGAAACGCCCTCAGATTCAAGCATCATCGTATCACCGAGGCGTACCCGCAAGCTATGAGATTGAGACTTCCGTGAATACTGCTGTACACAAGAAAGGGGGCTACACGCAGTGAAGAGAGCATCACGAAAATGAAGGAAACAGATGAAGCAATAAGCAAGGTCATGTCAACAGAATGAGCAAGAACTCAACAGGCAGCAGTGAGCTCAAGATCTTAAAGAAAAGAAAAAACTGCAGTTCTCATACACACTCGGAACATCCGATTATTAATCTTTGCCGCCGCCTGACTGCCCTGAAGAATCGCGCCGTAGTAGCGTGGTCATTTGCCACAGCAGAGCTCCGTGTGATGGAGTGTAGCCCCGAGTCTCTCCGACGCTTGCAGTCAGCTCGTTGATTGCCTCGGCTTCTCGTATAAGCGTCTCTTCAAACTCCTCGCGAGCGAACATCAGATCATATAACGCCTCCGTCATCGTGTGCACCTTGTCTTGAAGCTATTGAAGCTCGTGGGCTCTGGAGCGCAGGAGATCGCTTACTAATAATTGCTGATTCATGCCGACACTCTTCATCGGCTCGCGCTTGTATTTGTATCTTAAAACAAACTGAAAAATAAGATGTGCCCTGTTGTAAAAATCTTAAAACCTCGCCTCTTTACGCTAAATTGCTGGTTATTTATTCTCGTTATTAAGGGTGCCTTTCAGTAAATGGCGCCGCAGTGCCATAAGGGTGCTGGTAGGCTGTCGTATTGTTGTAACCTTATGGCCCTCTATTAGAGGCTCTAACGCCATTCGATTTGGTCATCATCAGATCGCACATCCATCGAGATAGGCCGTGACAAAACATGCAAGTACACTCGGTAATCATCAGCCCGAACACTCCTCCCTCTCAGTCGTCGATTCTCAGTAATGAGAGCCAACGTCATCGTGGTGGCTCTAGCCCTTTACATTGCGTGCGCCAATGTCACGTTGGCAGCTTGTGCCAAGTCCCGACACTTAAGAGTGAATGGCAAAGACGCCTTGTGGAACTACGACACAAGCGGCGGTATCAACAGCATCGTAGCGGATGACGAAGAGCGCGTCGTCAGTTTTTCGGGTATCAAGCGATGGCTCAAGGAGCTGTTTAAGAACTGGTCTTAAAGGAACAAGAAGATTCCAGAAGGCACTGAATACGATTTTTTCACCGGAAACTATCAACAAAATGCTCAAAAGCAGACACGTTCGGCGTGAGATGTTTAAGAGGTGGGACGGCCACGATATCAAGCTAAAGATTGGTCGAGCACAGATGAACAACAAGGCAGTTGCCAAGGTGCTCGTGAAATACGTACAGAACTATCGAGTTTACACATACCGAGGCTATGTCCAGTAAAATACGAAATTATCGGACTCAGATACTATCTGACAGATAGTGTCTTTATCCTCAGCAACGATTTCTATAATTTTGGCACAAATGGTTTGATAACAACTCCTTGCTCCTTCTCATTTACTGAAAATGCTCAATTTGTTACCATTTAAAAACATCAGAGTAAAACCTAATTTCATTAATCCCCTTAAGTACTTTGTTCGCCAGTAGGGCACAGCTTAGTGCGCCGCGTCGGCATCGTAGACAACTCCAATAGCCCCTCGAATTTCGTCTATGAACTTTGCAATCGCCAAAGACTCCTCGGGTGTGTACTCGTCGCATTGCAGTTGGCCACTGCTAATTGCCTTCGTGACAGTCTCAGCTTCGTAGACAAGTGCTTGCGATCCGGGGTAATTGAACGGCGTGGCGATGCTCGTAGAAGGCGTCGGCCACGGGAATTGCATCGTTTTGGTTTGCTGCGTGCCATCTTCAAGGAGCTGAAAGACAGTGACCTCCATGGAGAGTGGCTTCGTACACAGTAATTAAAAGGGGCGTTTTTCACTCGGAGTGGGATGTCAACTGTGGGATAGTGTATCCCCTATCCACGCAGATTTGTGTGGTTTTCTCGTCGTAGAAATCTGCGGTCCTGCGTGCCTCTCCCTCCATTCGAATCCGCGCGCTCCGACAGCACCGTTAGCATCCCCGGAGCTCCACGATGTCTCGCCGCCGGCACGCCGGCGTCCTAGCAGAGGTGGCACATAGCTCGGAGGGTGGAGAAGACGCCTCGTCAGCGAGCGAAAGCTCAGGGTACGTCTCGTCGTTAAGAGAGCAAACAGAAGAGAGAGGAGACAGCGATTTTCAGAGTCCGCTTCCTGCTACGTTTCGGAAGTCCAAGAAAAGAAAGAAGAGCAGCTCTCAGCCGAGGCACCAGAAGAGCACGCGTCAAAAGAAGAGGCGGTCGCGGCGCTTATCGTCGCCGCCGAGACATAGTTCATCATCCGACTCGGACGCTGAATCGGATTCGTCTTCTGAAGATCAACATGAACCTACACCAATGCGTCTTAGCCCTCTGGAGAACACTATCCGCGTTCCAGAACTGGATGTGAAACTCTTTGCGGACTGGGAGGATCTAGAGCGCTACTTGGGGAGCTACAGCAGGCGAACGCACCAGGTATGTTTATTGTGTGGATCTAAATGTCTATCAGTCTCAGACTGTGTACAAGTCTTGGTATTAACAAATGAAAACTTACTGCTTTTGCCACAGTTGTATTCCGTGCGTACTGCCACACCTGTTCAAGTACGAAATGAGCGTATTAAGAAGAGTCGGAATCCAATCAAACCGATTCCAGTGACTTTTTCTTTTTACAACAAAACGTACGTCTGTACGCACCACGGCAGGCCACGGCGCAGCAGAGGCAAGGGCAAGCGTCCCAAACAGCATTCCCGAAAGATCGGATGTCCTGCTCAGGTGAGCACATTTATTATCTGAGCTGCTACGGCAAGTATTGTGACGTCATGTTGTTGTTTGTGATTACTCCAGATTAATGCTTGTGTCAGAGAAACCGGAGGCTGGGAAGTTTGCGTCACAAAGCAAATAACGGAGCACAACCATGAGATCAGATATGACTTGCACTCAGACTAGTTCACAGTCTGAACTTTATGCACAACCCAAGACTGTACGAGCAATAGCGGTGGCCGACGAAGCCAGAAGTGATCGGAATGACAAACCAGTGGATTCAGAAACCCACCAACCGCAACCTGTAACGTGGATAATTGCTCCATCAAAGAAGAGGGATGGTCACGCTAAAGCGGCGAAAAAAGCGCGAAAAGAAACCCACAGAGATAATCTGAAGCAGACATCGAGGTTGGTCGAAGCTGTCGCGGATGGAGTAATTCCCTCTATGATGAAAGTTTTGGTGGCCTACAGGACCGCGTTTTGTTTGAAAGATCGCCAGGCTCTGTTGGGAACGACTGTGCTGAATCAAACGCGCTCTACCAAGATTGTAGTGGCCGACAAGGCAAAGATGCCTCCCACAGAACCCGCAAAAATTCGGTCGATCCTGCCACAACGCAGGATTGAGTCCTGCCAAGCACAGGTTGCGCATTTTCAAAACAGGTGGTTCAGTGATCACGATGTTAGGATGCCAGCTCTCGCCATCTCAATCAAAGCCGGGAGTATTGTGTACGACGTGGAGATGCTTAAAGCCATGAGTTCGTGGCACAGAGCTGTCCAGCGGTTCAATGACATTCGAGAAACTATTCACTGGCTCCGGCACGTAGATTTGACAGATTGGAACCCCGAAGATTGTTGGCGAACAGGATTGCTGTTCCCAGATGATCTGGAGAAACGTATTGCAAATATCGATGTTCTCAGTGATTATTTTTGGATAACAACCCTCCGAGGTCGCTCTTTAGTGGAGCTATCGTGTTTAGACCTTGCTCTAAATGCGTTGAAGAGCATGTACGACGCAGACAACGAGATTTTCTGCATCCCTTCGTACATGATGAGATTTCCCTCCGTGGATAATCAATTCATTGCTGAGTCAAAGGTTCTAGTGAACCTCCGCGATGCAGTCAAGAGGATGAACCTATGGGGGGAAACCGCCCCTGACACTGCCGTCAGTGGCCCAGAAAAACCAGTGTGGTTGTTTGCTGTTATTCTCTATGCTAGCGACCACTGGTATGCCACCGCTGTAAACTTTAATGAGCTCACTATCATGATATTCGACCCCCAGTTAGCCGGAGACAGATTCGAGACTCTAAGAAGATATCTTCGTGATGAGCTGGTCCCGTTGTTGCCGCTGCCGCCGTCACCAAAGCGCTACCGATTCAAGCGAGTTGAATGGGTAACGCAAGTGGATGACTATAACTGCGGAGTCTTCGTGATAATGTTTTTTGAAATGCTCCTGCTAGATGTCGTTCCGACCAGGTTTGATACTTCGACTGCGCTGCAGTACTTCCGCTATAGGTACATCAGTCAGATTGTAAGCACAATGTAATCTCATATTGCCTACACTATTGCATCGCTGCTTAACGTATAAGAATTGATCATTAGCTGCGTAGCGGACTCGTTGTTTTAGGCAGCCGTATTAGACACTGTGTTTTTTTAATGCTGGAAATCTCTAAGATGCACGTCGTTCCTGTTGTGAAGACAGTTTAGCCGATAGCGCTGTTTGTTCTATGAAGAGAAGCGTGACCACAGCTGCCAAGGGCTGTCCAAATTGCTCGCTCTATGAAGAGAAACCTGACTGCCATCTGGCAGCTATACCCAGCACATGGTGAGGCTATCCACCAGATACTGTGCAGGACTGTGCACGACTCTGCAAGACACTGCAAAAATTGCTGACTCATACCCTTCAGACTGTGTACGTAGCCTCTGCCGACCTCCATGGCGCAATGAGCAGGCTCGGGGATGCGAATCCTGCCTTTGCTACCCGTGATCGTGTGTCACGATTCGTGACAGTGTTGCCCAGATTTGCCAAAGCTGTGAAATTGATGGTGCCAACTCGGGTGCCACTGTATTCGAGAGTTGCCGAACCGTATATATCCTCCCCACCCGAACTGGTTTTGCCGGTGGTAGTGATCTTCAGTGGCTTCGTACCGAACACCATCGTCACGAATGACAAGGGGTATATCCCGATGCCGAGAAGTGCGCCATCACCCAAAGAGCTGCGAAAGTTCGACATGGGATTCACGAACGGAATGTTAATATCTCCGTGAACGTGGTGGACGTCGCCAATGTTTCCGTCAGATATCAACTGGCGCACGTATTTCAGGAAAGGAAAGCAACGAGTCCACACACCTGATAAAAGCAAAAAGTTGCAATCAGCTTCGGCAACAAAAAAAGTTGCCACAAATTTTGGCATACCTTCCATGAGGAAAAGATTCTTTTTTTTGGCCAGTTCGACAACGGACGTCGTCTGCTTCGCATTCATTGTCATGGGTTTCTCCACCAGCACGTGCTTGCCGTGATTTAGAGCAAGCGAAATGTGATCGAAGTGCATCAGGTGAATCGTGGCAATGTATACCACGTCAACGTCGCGGTCTTCACACAGCTCTTCGTATGATCCGTAGGCATGAGCAAATCCTGCAACAACATAGAGGCACGTCAATCAGCAAAGGTAAATCATTGATCTATCGGTTTGATGCACGCACCGTGAGTCTTGGCAAATCGGTCTGCACTTTCAAGCAATCGAGCAGCACAAGCCGAAAGCCTCGCGGTCTCGCCGGCCATCCCTTTCAAGGCATTGACAAAGTCATTGGCAATCTTGCCACAACCAATGAAACCCCAGCGGAGCGGAGCTTGCGAATCAGCGCCCATCGATACTTCTTGTTGCACTCCAAGGCAAATGATGAAATTGACCTTCAACAGCGACACCCTCGAAAACGCAATGCTGTTGCATGAACTTCAACTTCGGCGGTAAATCTGATTCGTGGCTGAAGCTGCTGTTCGCGATATTTACCGTCATTTGCACCCATCGCCAATAAACCAACCCTCCAACAATTGGCAAAAAATAACGTGGGGTGAGGTCTCAAACGTTTTCAACGTTAGCTTTTTCATTAGTGTGGCAACTCAAAAGCTCCAAATTTGCATCACAATTGTAGCAACACTATCTCAGATTATGCCAAAAACGCTAATGATTGCACTTCAGATGCAAAAATAGGTAAACTTACTTCGCGTCGGCGGGGTAAACGAGACCCAAATCCTTGCGAATCTTGTCCATAATCGTCATAATTTGGAGCGATTCGTCCAGTGGGTACTCTTTGCTCTCGGCCTCCTTGTTCTGGATGGCCTTAATCACAGTCTCGGCCTCATAGCGGAATCCCTCCGAGCCGCCGTAGTTAAAAGTAACCCCAGCAGCAGGTGCCGGCCACGGGAATGACGTCGTGGTCTCCTTCTGCGTCCCGTCCTCAAGGTACTTGACCACTTGCACCTCCGTCGCCGTGTGAGCGGGCGTTGGCAAGTGAATGCGTCCTTTAGAGCCCGAAATGGTGACAGTCTCGTCCGTATTGGCCAACATCGTGTACTCGACGGTAGCGAAGCGCGAGTCGCTGTACTCGAGCGTCACCGAGTTGTAAATGTCGATGCCACCATCATTCAGTTTGCCAGCCGATGTGATTTTATCAGGTTTGGCTCCAAATACCATCGTGGCAAAAGCCAGAGGGTAAATGCCAATGTCCAAGAGGCCACCGCCTCCGAGTTCGTTGTGCCACATACGGGTATTGACAACGTCGAATTGGATGCCAAAGGACGCGTGTACGTGGTGCACGTCGCCGATCTCCTTGTCGGCCAGCAACTGACGCACGTGGCGGATGGAAGGGAAGAAGCGCGTCCACATTCCTTCCACGAGGAAGAGATTTTTCTCACGAGCGAGGGCAATTGCAGCCGTCGATTGGGCGAGGTTCATGGCCATGGGTTTGCACGTGCTTGTCGTGGTTTAGAGCGAGCACAGTGTGCTCATAGTGTGACGGGTGCAACGTGCCAATATACACGACGTCCACGTTGGGGTCGGCGACGAGGGCCTCATATGAATCATAAGCTTGGTTGATACCATGCTCTTTGGCGAATTTCTGAGCGCTGTCCAACGAACGCGCGGCACAAGCCTGGAATTCGACGTTGTCCAGCGCCTTCATGGCACTGGCGAAGTCTGACGAGATGCGGCCACAGCCGAGGAAGCCCCAGCGGAGAGGGGAAGACGAGGTCATAGCTGAGAGGTACTTGCGATCCAAGCGGAACAGCTTTGAGTGACGCGGATCGGGAATAATGAAAAACTTTGTTATAGCAGATAAAAATAAATATCTTGAGATTTATTTCGAAAGAGGGATTGTGGCTTATAGATACCTGCCGTTGAAGATATCATGAGTTCACTAACGGAAAAAAACCACTCATCATTGATGGCGGTGTCACGAGTCATGTCGTGACTCATGACATCCTGGAAATATGGAGTAATGTAGCGAAACCGATCAGCTTCTGCGATAATACATGTAGCAATCATGTGTCTGGAGTAAAATTACGATAGTGATACTGCAAGCAAACAGCAAAGGCGGAGGAAGGGCACCCCAATCAAAGAGTCAAACGCTTCATTTTTGGTTTCGTGACTTCATTGATCCATGCTGTCGGTCCCATTCATTTCGCATCGATTCTCTTCACTGTAGACAAGAGCTCATAGTTCAGTTGGCGGTGTAGTGGATTATGCGATCTTCAAGATCGTAATCTTGCATCGATTCTGTTGATTCAATTGACAAGATACACGTACGTGAAGTTCACGTCGTGAGTTACTGAACGTGTACTGTACGTGTACATGTAGTAGCTGACCTCATGAGAATATGATAGGGCTTTAGCTGAGGCTACCTCCCGTTTTTTTTATTATGGACAGTGTCCACAGTAATTCACTGCCGCTACTCAGACCATTTTGACAAAGAACTTCTTTGTCGAAGAAGCAGACCATGAGCAGGCGATTCGCGAGATATATTCGCTATTATGATAGCATATCATATCTAGGCCACTGTTAATAAAGTGTCAATGTATTAATTAACATTCAACAAAGACTAAGCAGTGCTACAAGTATGCATGTTCGCTTTTCTCTCCATCCTTGTCTCCATCATTTATTATAACACTATATTCATCAATTAGAGCGTGAGGGGCGCCCTGCGCTCATACCTATTCGATTTCGAGCGAGCTTACGGATGCGTGGACGCAACTTTAATTAAGTACACATTTTGCAAATTCTCAGCTTCTCGCTTCAGTAAGTTACAGTATTAAATATTCTTATCAAAAAAAAAATACTCCCAGATGCAGTACATGTAGTGTGTAAATTTCATACCGCATTTTTGGAGGGGCTAAGAACGTCGTCATAGATTTCTTGAGGTGTACCTACGTAGCTAGCCAAATAAAGCTCAGCAACTTCGAATTTAAAAAAAAAATTGTTGTGAGGATTTGTCAGCTGTGGTTGATCTTCCTCTTCAACCACGAATCAATCTTGCAATCGATTTTGCATTTACTGCCACTTGTACTTTTGAAACGAGCATCGCCTCTCCGCTGGGGCTTTCTCGGCTGCGGCCGGATCTCACACGCTTTCGCTGGAGCCATCAAGTCTCTAGATTCCGTGACGTTCCAAGCCTGTGCAGCGAGATCGCTGGAGAACGCTCAAAAGTTCGCGAGTGAACACGGTGAGTGTTCCTGTCAAGAATAAATACTATTATATTAAAATTGACTGTGCAATCTACTACCAACAGGTATTGCAAATGCTTACGATTCATACGAGGCTCTATGCTCAGACCCAGAGGTTGACGTCGTCTACATCGGAGCTCTACACCCGTGGCATTGCGAGCACGCGACGTTGGCTCTAAGCCACGGCAAACACGTTCTAGTCGAGAAACCCATGGCAATGAACGCGAAGCAGTCAGCGTCGCTCATTGCATTGGCTCGTGAGAAGAAGCTCTTCCTTATGGAAGGCATGTGGACTCGTTTCTTCCGAGCATTCGTTTCGTTCGCAAATTACTGGACGACAACGAAATTGGAGAAGTTCGCCACGTTCACGCCGAGATTGGCTACCCGTTCCCCAAAGACGAAGCGCGTCTGTGGAAAAATGAGTTGGGAGGAGGAGGTTTACTCGATATCGGTATTTATCCTCTTGCCTTCGCGACCATGGTGTTCAGTACGGAGCCTGAGAAGGTGACGACGGCCGGTACACTCAACGATGGCGGTTTAGACGTACACAACTCGGTGACGTTGCGTTACAACGACAATCGTTTCGCTACCATCGAGTACTCGATGTTGGTGCAACTCAGTGAGACCGTCACGATCTCTGGAACTACTGGACGCATCCTCATCCACACGCCAGCTCATGTCGCTTCTGAAGTCTCCGTCATTCGCAGCTCTGGACCAGGCAAAGAAGAATCGGCAACGACGAAGTTTCCGTGGCCTACGCCAGACGCTGGATACTCTTGCTTTTTGTATGAAGGCGAAGCGGTCACGAAGGCTATTCAGTCCAAGGAACTCGAAGCGAAAGAGTACTCGCTGGATGAATCGCTTGGTATCATGACCATTATGGACAAGATCCGTAAGGAAATCGGGCTTGTGTACCCTACTGACGCAAACTAGGAAACATTTTTGCTAATTAGTGCCACGTAGCTCAAAACTTCAACCACAATTCAGGATATGCTTGGCAACTGATAACACTTTTTTGCCCTTTGACTTTGTCAGAGGCAAATTATCACTTGATTCTTCAACCATGGCTACCAACACTCCTTTGCGCTGGGGCATTCTCGGCTGCGGACGCATCTCCCACACGTTCGCCAGCAATCTAAAGCCACTTAAAACCGCCATTTTCCACGCGTGCGCAGCTCGTTCACTGGATAAAGCGCAAGAGTTTGCCAACAAACACGGTATGTGTCAGTTTTCTTCTCTTTTTCATCGTGATAATTGACCACATTTTGCTGCCACTTGTGCTTAGGCATTTCGAACGCGTACGATTCGTACGAAACGCTTTGCTCCGACCCCGACGTGGATATAGTGTACATTGGCACACTCCACCCGACGCATTGTGACCTTGCACTATTGGCATTGAACCATGGCAAACACGTTCTGGTGGAGAAACCCATGGCCATGAACGCGAAAGAGGCCGAAACAGTCATCACACTAGCGCAACAGAAACGCCTCTTCTTCATGGAAGGCATGTGGGCGCGGTTCTTCCCCGCAGTTCGTTTTGTGCGCCAAGTCATCGAGGAAGGTGGCATTGGCGACGTGCATCACATGCACTCGGCCTTCGGAGTGGCATTCAAAGCCGACAATGACCGTATCTGAAGAAAGAACTGGGCGGCGGTGGGTTATTGGACATTGGTATCTACGTGTTGGCAACTGCCACGATGGTGTTTGGGTTTAAACCCGAGAAGATCACGTCGGCTGGGAAACTCAATGACGAAGGAGTGGACGTGTACAGTTCCATCACGCTCGAGTACAGTGATCAGCGCTTCGCTACGCTTGAGTACTCGACACTCGCGAAGATCAGTGAGACGGTGACGGTCACTGGCACTAAAGGGCGGATCTTTATCCACCCGCCGGCACACGCGTCGATGGAGATCTCGGTCGCCACGTACGACGAAAGCGGCAAGGAGACGGAGAAGACGTCGCGCTTTCCGTGGCCGACACCAAGTGACCATCACTCGGGCTACCTCTACGAAGCTGAAGCTGCCACGGAGGCTATCCAACGCAACGAGATCGAATGCATTGAGTACTCACATGCTGAGTCGCTGGGGATCATGAACATCATGGACAAAATCCGCAAGGACCTTGGACTTGTTTACCCCGCTGACGAGCCGTAGGAGTTGCCAGGGTGGCAAACTCAGCTTGATTACTCTTTACATGTAGCTGCATCAACATGGACATTGTCGTTGCTTGAGCATTGCCTGATGATGAAGAACCTTGGAAAGTGTGCGCTGAGTCTGAGCGAGCTCATCTAATGAACCCATCAACACGCAAGAGCCACGTATGCGCAAACACCTATTAAAATATATGTTTGTCATTCGATGTACTATCGCAGGATACGGTACATAACAGCCTCTCAGATGAATTTTAATCTTTTGTTAGCAGCACTATTTCCGATTTATAACAGTAAACAACATAACGGGTATCAACTATCTCATTTTTGTCGCCCATCCACCTCTGCCATTTTTGCAACGCACCACCGGACTCGCTTCATTCCTCGACTTTGCGTGTCCGTGACAATGGCGTCTGCTCCCCCGATGAACGTGATCGAGAAGATCCTGTGCCACCATGCTGTAGGCCTCTCCAAGCCTTACGTGCGTGTGGGCGACGTGCTGTGTGTCAAGGCTGACTGGACTATTGCCAGTGAACTGACCTTCCAAGCTATGGACACTATGCACGAGGCCATCGGCCGACCGCCTCTCCACCGCCCCGACCGCTTCTGGCTGGCTCTGGACCACACGGTGGACCCGCGTGTGAACCATTTGCCTAAGCAGAAGGCGCTTATTGAAATGTCTACCAACTTCGCCAAGACCCATGGGCTCACGGACTTCCAGCCTGCCAACACTACCATCATGCACACCGAGTTTGCTCGTAAGCGTGCGCAACCCGGCCAGATCGTCATTGGCGCTGACAGCCACACATGCAGTGCCGGTGGAATGGGCGCATTTGCTGCCGGTTTGGGCGCTGGCGACGTCGTTATGCCACTAGTCACGGGTCAGACGTGGTTCAAGGTGCCGGAAGTGTGCTACATTGAGTTTGTCGGCGCTCCGAGCTTCGGTATCGGTGGTAAGGACGTGATTCTTCACATCCTTGGAGAATTGAAGCGCAACACCGTCGCGTTTGAGCGTGCTGTGTACTACGGCGGCGCAGGGCTCAAGTACCTGTCCGACGACGCTCGCTTTGCCGTCGCGAACATGAGTACCGAGTTCGGTGGCATTGCCGGCGTGTTCCAGGCCGATACCATCACTCAACGTGTACTCGAAGCACGCGAGTCTCACTTCGACGAAGCTCTGTTCTTTGAGCCGGACGAGGGATGCAACTACGCCGCCCACCATGTGATCAACCTGGCTGATGTCAAGCCGTTGATCGCTCTGTACCCATCGCCCGACAACTGTGTGAGTGTCCAGGAGAAACTCGGAATGAAGCTGGATGGGTGTTTCATTGGTGCCTGCACTACCACGCAGGAAGATCTGATTCTAGGTGCAATGGTGTTGCAACAAGCCATGTTGGAGGGAAAACGTCCCTCGGCTAACGGCAACCGTCGTGTTACTCCCGGCAGTCTGGAGATTGTCGACCGTCTAAAAGAACTTGGTCTGGTCCGTATCTACGAAGAAGCAGGCTTCACTGTCGGCGTGCCGAGTTGCAGTTTCTGTGTCGGCATTGGTGCCGATGTTGCCGGCGAAGGTGAAGTGTGGCTTTCCAGTCAGAACCGAAACTTCCGGAACCGTATGGGTAAAGGATCGATCGGCAACTTAAGTTCGGCGGCGGTAGTGGCTGCCTCCAGCTTCGATATGGAGGTGGTGGACCCTCTGCCGTACTTGGACAAGATCAACAAGGACGACTTTGACCGCTACCGTAACTGGGTGGAGCCGGACTCGTCCACGCCATCACCGGCCAAAACGACTAAGTCGTACACAGTGACGGAGCCCGAGCCCGTGCTCGCTTCGGGTAACGACGAAGTGACCGTCCAGCAGGCCAAGGAACAGGCTGCTGTTGCCGAATTGGAAGCTGCTTTGCCACCTAAATTCAGTGGCAAAGTGCAAAAGTTCGGCGACAACATCGACACAGACGCTGTGATCCCGGCCCAGTTTATGGGTCTTAACAAGTCGTCGCCTTTGTGGCCTGCTGAGTGTGAGACAGAGCTGGATGTGCTCGCTGCCAAGTCGTTTGCCTATGTGCGTCCCGAGTTCCCGCAGAAGGTGAAAGAGGGCTTAAACATCATTGTGGCCGGTACGGCATTCGGTAGTGGTTCGTCTCGTGAAGAGGCCGCGATTTGCCTTAAGGCTGTCGGCGTCCAGGCCGTGATTGCCAAGTCATTCGCTTACATTTACGCTCGTAACCAGCCCAACAACGCTCTGTTGGGCATTGTCGTGACGGACGAGAAGTTCCACGAACTGGCCGCTGAAGGTGAGGAAGTTACGGTGGATCTGCGTAACCGAGTGGTGAGTGTCAAGGACCACCAGGTGGCCTTCTCGTTGACGCAACTTGAGGAGGCATTCCTCAACGGAGGCGGTCTGAAGACGCTCTTCAAGCAGCACAAGGCAGATCTGTTCCGTGCCGCCATGCGTGGCAAGGCGCCAAAGGTTATTTCTTCGGGCGGTGTCGGCTGTGGCGAAGGTTGCGGCGGCGAGGCGGCGGCCACTCCGTCGTGGTAGGCTGTGAATTTTGACACCAGATATGTGCACAAAACGATAATCAAAAACTACATGCGCGTTTTCCATGAACCGGTGCAACAAATTTGCAAGTGGTGAATTTCTCAATTGAGTGGCAATGAAAACCATTTTTCAAAAGGTATCTTTTTTTTAAAAGATACTTTTTGGCATGAAAAGACGCGATATTTGGCATCTTGCTAAGACAACGAGGCAACATGTTCCAGGACGTGACACTGGGCAGTGCGAGCTTCGCGGCCAAGCGAACGAAGACAGTAGCCGAAGTATTTGCCCAAACGATTGAAATCGACATGTTCGACTGTGAAGCTCAGACGGAGAGCGAGATCGTCTCGAGCTCCACTCAAACGGGTCCAACCCAACAACCACCAGCCAGAGGCAAAGGCAAAGATGCAACAATTAATACTGAAGAAGAAACCCAACGACAAGTGGCTGAGTGCTTGCAAAACGTTGGAGGACTCATGCTACGAGAAATGGCCAAGAATGGAGCCACCAGCTCCTGCTTCAGCGGTACGCCACAAATTAATTCCTCTCCCAGAATCTTGGGACTGATATGTTGATGCAGGTTTAGAACGATACTTGGAAGAGTCAGAGGAGAAGGATATCACCGAACTCTTTCGACTGCAATTCGACTACGACACGTACTTCCAGCCGCAACAAGGCACTGCAACGACAACCACAACAGGATCTTTATCTTCATTGAGATTATCGTGCACGGGTGTGTCCTGGAATGCAACGGGGTCGGTCATCGCAGTTGCGTATGGACGCTTCGACCACTCCGGGTGGTGCAACTATCGATCGGCCCTCTGTTTATGGAATGTCTTCCAAAGTGACCTTAACCAACAGAAACCCTCCCTTGTCCTAGAAACATCGGTACGTTTCGGATTCTAGTCCCGATTTTTACAATTCCGATCTGAAATTGCCGCTTCCTACAGAGTGGACTCATGTGTGTGGCGTTTCACCCCCAAAATCCTTCCGTTGTTGCTGCTGGCTCTTTCAATGGAGAAGTCTTCGTGTGGGATATGGAACCTGCTGAGTATAAATTCTACTCGTCAGGTATCGGAGACTATTTCCACCGCGAACCAGTCACCAAAGTGGCCTGGGTCTACGACATCCAAACCGCCGACTACAACGTAAGATTTAAACTCTCTTTCCCTTTTACCAGCAACTAACTCCATTTTCCTGTACATGTAGATTGCAAGTGTGAGTGGCGATGGTAAAATTCTCTTTTGGCGAGTTAAAGACAAACTTGCGTTCCCTGTTGAAGGTTACGTCATGCATTTGCCCCAAGGCATCGGGGGTCCTGAAAGTAAAAGCAACAACGACGACACACGCTCGCCGGTGATCGGTGGTAAGGCATTAGCCTTCAGTAGCACGGACAAAGCCAGTCGCGCTTTCGTCATTGGCTCAGAAGGTGGCGTCGTCGCTAGATGTTTCGCGAAAGCTGCCACAAATGTTCGTTCGTCGGACTTTAAAGGGGACAAGAAGTGGACAGCTACAGCTGCACGTCTTGTGAGTAAACTCCCAACTTCAAAGATCCCTGCGGCACGTCGACAAGTGGAGGCGTATGCGTCTGTAAAACGCAGTAAAGAAGTGACACTGGCAACGGTGTATGAAGCCAGACTCGACCCTACAATAATATTCCCGAGTGCCATGGACTTTGTCTTCGAAGCTCATACCGCTCCCGTATATGACGCGAGCTTCTCACCTTTCCGGAAAAGTATTTTCCTCACTGCATCAGCTGATGGAACCACGCGTGTATACTCAACAATGCAGCGTGAATTGCTATTATCTTTTGAAGTATCGCCGTCATCAGCGTATCTCTATGCGGCCGAGTGGTCTCGTACACGTCCGATGGTGTTCGCTGCTGCCAGTGAAGACGGGAACGTCTATGTCTTCGACATCAAAGCTGATCGCGTCAGTCCCGTGTTGGTTCTTAGCGGTAAAGATTCCATCACGGGATCAACTTCAGGGGCAAAGACTGGCAGTACAATCACAACGTCAAAGACTGCAGTTGCCGCCCCGATGTTTGCGCTCGACTTTAATCCTCGACAGAGGAACTTCTTGGCGGCAGGGGACGCTGAAGGTGTGGTGCACATTTGGAAACTGTCGTGGCAACTTGCCAACTTCCAAACAGGAGAAGGAGAGTTGCTGGAGGCACTAGAGGCAACATAAAACCAGGTTTACGTGATACGCAACTTTTCTTTTTGATTTTCACTTGTGTTGACTGCGAAATGCAACTTTTCTAGAAGTTGTTTCTCTCGTGTTATTTGCGTCCAAGGTCCTTGGCCGTGCGGTGGGCATGCAAACTCCACTCCATCTTCGTTTGGGTCACTAAGGAAATAATGAGACATTAGCATTGACACTTGAGATTTTCAATTTTGACAATAACGAACCTGGCATACGCGACGCATCTCCTTGAAGGTTTCCTCGGACATGTTGATGTACATGTCTTCGAGGTTGCTCTGCAGATCGTCCTCTGCCTCCTTCATAACGCGCAGAATGGCGTCACCCAGACCGCCAGGACGTTGCACCGTGATCTCCTCGTCGATATCCTTGGAATTTTGCAGTTGCAAGTTGCCGTTCTCAAAGTAGTGAACATGCAGCTGTATGTTGCCCTTAATCTTGGCCGGATTGGCTGTCAGATCCACTTCCCATCGCGATTTCCAGCGTCCTCCCCAATAGTTGCGCAAATTGATACGCTCCGTGCACAAATTCACCACCAATTTGGTACCCACAATGTACACACCGGCACTTCCACTGCAACATCAACAGTAAATATTAAACATTTATACATCACCTCTTTGTAGCAGTAATGTTGCTTACCCGTGCATATATTCGAACTGCAAGTACGATTGCAACGTCTCCTGACTGGCAATTATTCAATATATAAATTATTTATTTCATAATACGCCAAATTTTTTCTTACCGATCCTTCTCAAAGTCCGTGACTTTGTCCTCTGGAATCTCAGCGACATCGTCCGGTACAATTTGCTGTCAAATCCAAGCACGCGGTTGCCGATGGGGTCCACGTAGTGCGCAGCGTCCACTTCTCCCTCTTCACAGATCAAGATCTATCATGTAATATATATTTCAGGGCTTATATAGAGGTAATGCTCGCAGCAACAGAGTCTAGTAGACCTTGTAATCAGCATCGGGGACGTCTACGGGCACGCAGTTCTTAACGTTGTAGGCATGCAGCGCCCCTCGAAGCGCCGCATCAGGTAGCACATGCGCCGGGACGAGCTTGGCCACGTCACGCAGAACCTCGTGGACCTGTCCAGGTGGACTAGCCAGCAAGAAACGCTGCGCAATCTGCAGCTTTTCCTCGTCCGAGGCTTCCTCGTACGCCCACTCCTCCGCCATGATAATCTGCAAAAATGGTATCAAAACTATGATAATGACTCATTTCACTCTCCTGATTGGTTAATTATAATGTCGTTTGTTTGTAAAGTGCCCATAATTGAAATGGAAACTCCAAGTGTTCGTGTTCTTGTTCTTGGAGAATCCGGAGTGGGGAAGACGGCGTTGCTGCGTGCCATTTGCCGCTTATACTCGCCCACCCCGCTCTCTAACGACAAGCCGTCGAGCTTGTGGACCACTGGATGCGATGTCCACGTGCTACTCACGTCGTTGGGACCGGCAGGACGAGAAGTTTTTGTGGAATTCCTGGATGTTGGAGGTCATCGCCAGTACGAGCTCAGCCGCGGAGCATTCTACCACGATATACACGGAGTCGTATTCGTACACGACTTAAGTAACGCCAAGAGTGGAGAACGTCTTCGTAATTGGAGCAGGGAGCTTAGTGACTTGCAAAGACTTAAAGGATGCGTGGTGCCGACGATGACAACAAAAACTCCCGACTTTTCTACGTTGCACGAGTTACCGAAACTCGTGATTGGCAACAAAAAAGACTTGTTGCAAAGAAATTATAAACTTAAAACGTCGGCACCAATGGGATCGCTGGAGTTTAGAAACGTTGCCTGTATTGAATCGGTAAGCAAAAAGTTGCCGATAAATCTGTGATATTTTTCACAAACTATTTCTTACTGTTGCAGAGTGCGGAACCCTTCTCAATGGAACCGAGTGGCCCATTCGATGCATTTTTACAACAAACTGTGGCATTTGCCAACCGAGGAGAAGGCGGAGGAAGCTACAACAGCTACAATAACAGTATGGGACTACGACAGACGAACAGAGCTGTTGGCGGAGACGATAGTCGCGCTGGATCGGGATTTAGTGCCGGAGTCAGTAGTTTAGCAGCTGCGCTACCACCATTATCCACAGGATCAGGCAGTGCACGTTCTCGATGGTGGTAACATGGGAAAAGTTTTCTTTACTTTGATTTTTTTTACTTGTTCTGTAAGGTTTTCTTCTACATGTACACGTACATGTAGAAGCCTTTTGACAACATGCTGTTCAAATACTTCAAGTAGGACCGGACCGGGGCTGCTAAATATCGATCTCCCACTGAATTTGGTCGTCACTGCCCTCAGCTTTGGCAGGAGTTTCTATTTGTACAACGGAGTTGAAAAGCTCTCTGGAAGTATCAAAAATACAGTGCACTTCTTGGTTCCGATCCTCCTCCGGGCCCCGCTAGCAACACATTAAAGCAGTTCTAATCCAGTGTTTCCAAAAACTAGAGTAACATTAGATACGGCATTGCAGCTATGATAATTGGGGGTCGGTACGACAAACTGCCGTAATTATTTTCTGACATTTCCTGTCTCCGTCGACAGGATGCAACTGAGCTCAAAACTCGACAGAGCCGCGGCTATTGAACGAAACGTTGTCCCCCCTAGTTGGCCTCTTCGACTTGCCTTCGTTTGGTGTCTTCAAGTTTCGTTCATTTGGTCCAAAACTCTCAGCGTCTTCGAATTGACCGTGAGAAAAGTCGCTGCCAATGGACCGACTCGAGCCGTATGTGAGGACGGCTCCAAGCTTCGTGGATTTGGCACTTTCGAGCGCTTCAGTGTCGAAAGTCTCGTAGCTCCGAGCACTTTCCAAGGAATCCAGAGGCGACGCAGGCATCGCCGACGAGTTAGGAGACAACAAACTACCGACCATCAGCCCACGACGTGCCGAGCCCGAAGCGTACGACTCTTGCGCATTCAGCGTTCGTGGCCTTTGGATACTCGCCTCCGATGCACTAGTACGGGAGTGTACCATGTCATTACTATCCGCTGAGCGCAAGGCGTCAATTCGAGCTTGCAATGTATCGCCTGAAGCTCCAGAGCCGGCACTGGCTCGAGCTTCGGATGGACTGGGCGGTGCGCGTGTGTATCTCGGTACTACAACGGGCGCTGGAGTCTGTTCCTGTTCACTATTGGGCGCCCCCAGTTTCACGCCGTTCTTTCTATTGGCTTTCAAGCTCTTCGAGGCCGATGGAGACGTGACCGACATGAAGGGAACACCGTCGGCGCCTCCGCCCGTAGGATACGGGTCGTCGTAGCGCATGCTGTCCGGGTAGTTCGTGTCGTAGCCGAAACAACTGGAGCTGAGCCGGGGTGCATTGGCTTCGTAGCCATGACTCAGTGGACTACGACTCTGTCCCTTGCCGGCATTGTACCATTTTGCCGGGGCTTGGTACTGACGCTCCTGGTTCGGTGCCTGACCGGCCTCCTGTTGCGCCGGGAGCGGAGGATATGGCTTGGCAAATTGCTGGTTGTGAAGCTGAGACGAGTTCTCGCGATAGCCATTGGCAGCCACCTGTGGCCCGAGGTTTTTGCGGTTCGGAGGAGGTGCCAATGGCACGGCGGTGACTTGTTTCGAGTAGCCGTAAGCCGGCGGTTGGTAACCGTTGGCCGACCCGTTTACTTGTTGGGCCTGTTGGTAACGCTGATATTGCTCGTGCTCCGCGCGTTCGCGCTCCTGTGTGAGACGTTGATGCGCCTGTACGGCCGCGATGGCCTCCTCGTGCCCTTTGCGCTTGGCGCGCTGCATGCAGACGCAGCAGCAAACCAGCAGCAAGAGGATGAGCAGCGCCACGCAGCCGATAGCCACCCACCAGATCCAGTCATCCCAGCCTAGCGCACCCTTGAACACCGACTGCCCGCTTGCCATAGTTGGAGAAAAGCGAACTGGAAATGCAGTGCTCTGCCAGACGAGAGTGGCAGAGAGTGGCTGCCTCCAAACACCTTCTGTTCCCGTCGACTCGCGACATGACGGTGAAAAGAACTGGGTCCATTCGAGTGAAAAATAGGTGTTCTGACTTAACAAATCTTCCCTTAAAATGGGTTCTGTTTTATTAAATGAGAGCAAAATGCCCAGCTGCTTTCAGTCCTGCCTTGACCCTTTTAATAACTTCCGGATATGATGATCCTGAATCCAAATGTAAATTAATTTGAATGCTAAAATCAGGTCTATTTGCAAACCTATTCCCGCGCAGTGCTGTAATGCCGTCCGAGCAACACCTTTTCAGAGCGTTCGTGAACGAAAACATGCTGCTTTAATGCCGTCATGCTGTTATTTCTTCTTCGTCGTTTGTCACCAGCCATAATGTCGGTAGCCTCAACAATCAAGGCAAGTTGCCGCGAAAATGGACCGAAATCCACTTGCGGATCCAGACTGCATCGATTTACACCAAAGAATTGTGTGGCTTCAAAATTCACAAACGATTCACAGCACCTCGCACTTAGTGGAGTTTCCCACGACCTTTGGCAATATCTTTTTTCTACGGAAAAGATACGCTGGCGGCTCAAATGAGTGGCAAGGAATCCGACGCAGTGCTCGCTTTCCTGTTGGGCTCAATGTCGTCGCTGGATGCACCCGAGCACGGCAATACTGTATCGAGAGATGAGGTCGAGGGTGTAGACGACCTCCCACCTCTAGAGCCCGTGTCCGACAGCGACGTCGAACCTCACACAGCCGTCAGTGCAACAGCGGACGCCAGTAGCAACTGCGACTTAGACACTATCACATCCGAGTTGACCTCGTGCGAGTCGGAGGATGATGGCAATTCGGCAGACACTCCTCATCCGGAGGCAATCGAGCAGGAGATTTGCATGAAAGATCCGGAATCGAAAAACAGCATGGAAGGCAAGAACGCTCGCATCGCCGAGGCGGAGCACGAGGACGACTGCGCTGATCCGAATGTAGATCCAGACGATGGCGTGCAACAAGAAGATAAAAGACCGCCGAAGAGGGAAAAGAAGAGCTCGAAGGCTGTGGTTAAGGGACGTCCAGAGTCGACAGGAAATCGAGCGGTGGCAAAGAGCAAGGGGCTTTTGACGGAGACCAAGAAGAAGCGAATGAATAATGGTGATCCCACCCAGCAAGAGCTTCTGTTTGTGGGGGGAGTTGCCACGGTGTTAGTTGCGTACCTCCTTGCGTGTGTGTACAGCTTCTTTCACCCTGTAGTGATCCCCTTACCGAACTACGAGGAACTGTTCTCGGCGTACGATATCTCGAATGTTTCCGTGCACATTGTGAACCCCGTGGGAAACTCATCAATCACGCCACAAGGTGTTTCATTTGAGTGGGAACTTGCCAACTTTCCCACTGAAGCTCTGCATTTGTATGGCGCCGAGGTTTTTCGATACGAATTATTTTTGGACGACGAGGTTTTCACGTCGGATATAGGATTTCTTGCACTTGAAAGCGAAGACGACAATACTGAAGTGCTCAATCGCACTGTAAAATTTCCGATTCCTCTCCGAAAATTCACACACGACGGGATATTTAAGCTTCATCTCGAAGTTACTATCCCCATTCCTGGGCTAATCGAAGAGCTCACGACATACAAGAAAGATGTTTACGTTCGAAAGCCACCCACTCCCTCTAATGAGGACGAGGTACACCTATCGCTAACGTCTCCCTTGGATGGTGCTATCTTCGAACGACATCAGTCTATTGTCCTCGAGTACACCGCCGTCAATGTCCACACTCTCGAGTTGCTGATTGATGACGACATTTACTTGAAGAAAACCCACGTGGACGATGGCAATATGCTGCTGCGTGGACTCGGCGTGGGGCCGCACACGCTCGAAGTGAAAGCCGTGAACGACCAGAATAAAGTCACAGCGTCCAGTTTAGTGCATGTAGAGATAATGGAGTCAGCATAGGCGCTATTAACTGTAATTGGATGGAGTTAGCGTATGTTAGCGTATTACGGTACTGCACACGCTGTAAATTTCCCTGTAACGGGGAAGATTTATGCATTTTAGCGGTGAGCGAGGTGTTCTCTCTATCCTCATCCACACTCTTACTGCCAGACCTTCTTAGGCTTCCAGTGGAAGTTCTCGTACAGACGCAGCAGGTTGCGTTCGAGCATGGCCACCGTGACCTTACCCACCAGTGGCACGTACTGCACGCCCTTTATCTTAAGCAGCTCGGCCTCGTCCACGTTCTTGAAGGACGCGACGTTGATGATGACCGTGTTCTCGCTCACCCACTCAAGCGGCAGCTTGTAGCTCTTAACGGGGACGCCAGTAATGATGACACGAGACTTCTTACACGCCGTCTCCTGCGTCTCTTCGCTCGGGATGAGCTTACCGCGACGGAATAGGTACAGCGAGTCAATGTCGGCGCTGTACACGTCAGCGCCGTCATTCGCAAGCACAGCAGCCAATGGGCGGCCGACAATGTCACTACGGTTAATAACCGTGATGTTAACACCTGACAAGTGGTTGCCAGTAGGCTTGGTCTTGTCATAAACGCCAAGGTGTTCGAGGATCTTGACAATTGCCAAAGGTGTGCAAGGTAGCACGCACTTTTGCGTCTTCTCGTCGTCTACGTAGCGGATGTTACGGTACAAGTTGCCACGGTAGAATTGGCACAGTCCTTCCACGTCCTTCTTAATGCTGATGCTGTCGCGCAAAAAATCGTCCATGGTGCCACCGAAGAAGCTCGGGAAGGCGCCGAAGCACGGGTAGTACACGAGAATACCGTGCACATCCGAGTCTTTGTTGGCCTTCTCCAAAGCCTCCAGCAGCTCGTCCTTGGGCACTTCGCGCAGCTCGTAGCGGATGCCGTCGCGTGCACAGGCCTTGCCCGTCCACTCGGCGTACTTCTTGGCGGCCGGGTCGCCGTGAGCCAGCAAACCCACGAGCTTGGGACCCACGCCACCCATATCCTGCTCAATGTACTGGCGCACGGCCAAGCTGAAGGGCTCGGCGATGGTCGCAGCGTTCATTTTCGCACCGGCGGAGTCGGTCATCTTGATGTTTGTGGTAGACGTCGGTTTGACGGATGGCTGGCTGACCATTAAGCGAAAAACCGTTTGGTAAGAGCTCGATTTTTTAACGCTTTCGAAAAAAGGCCTCAATTAATATTTGATCATATTAGAAAGCCAAAATAATTAAGAGTCGTTGTTTTTTCAAAAAGAAACGCTTTGTTTAACACCTTTGAAATTCCTTTTTATTTTTTATCGCAATGATTTGATAAAATGTCATTTAAAAAAGTGTTTCGAAATTAAAGTGCTTTTAGAAAAACAGAAAGCTTTTTTCTCAGGGTGGCTCTTAGCCACTGCCACGTGTGCCATGCCATGGCACTAGAGATTGAGCCATGGTATGGCGTGGTTACGAATAGACCTGTCACTGTGCCATCATGAAAACTATTTTTAAAATATACATAAAATGCAATTAGAAGTAGCATGGCCCATGGCAATTGCCCCTTGCCATGACACTTGCGACTTTCGCTTGCGAGCTCGAATTTGGTCTCTATTCTTATCGTCGTAGCTCTTTTGATATGACAAGCGAGCGTCGCGTGTGCGCTGGTAGTAGCGCTTCTGTGCTGCCTTTATGCGTTCTTTGTTAGCGAGGTATTGTTCAGGTGAGTACGTCATCTTAGTATATAACTAACTTTTTTTTATCAGGATGAAAATTTCCTGATAAAAAAAGTGTTATTCCGATGACGAATAGATCACGAAGTAATATTTTGGTAATATCTTGGTAGGAGAAGCTGATGTCATTGAAGCGTTGAAGCACTCAATTCATTACGCACCTCGGGATACGGAACAAGGATTGCATACTGTTTGATGGTTTGAGGAGTCTTCTTGGTGAAAGTTTTGTAGTAGAGTGGTGGAAGCAAAAAGAAGAGTCGATTGCCGTTCTGACCCAGTTTCGCCAAATCATCCGCCGCCCCGCCCTTGATGTCATGCGTTTTTCCCACAGTCATCTGGAATCCACCGAACTGCGCCATCCACGCATCAATAGCAGTATAGTTCGATGTCCGAAGTACGTACAGCTGATTTGCATGTTGACCGACTTCCACACGCTCCGCTACTTGCCGAGGCTGCGATGACCGTGGAATGTCGATTGTACCATCAGCTGGAGTGCGTTTCCTCTTTCTAGAAAACAGCTCTCGATACACGAAAGTCCCACCCTGCTCCAGCCGATCCATAGAATAAAACTCAAAGATGTATCCACACAGTGATTGTGCTAGCGGGTTTCCATCTGACGAACCGAGAAGGCTTTGCAGCTTCGCGCGGTCAAATCGCCACTTTGTTCGAACAATCAACTGCATCGCCAAATCTGATGCATAGACGACTTTGTATTCTCGATACGGTTCTTGGCTGCGAATGTGAATCAAAGTCTGAACGATCGTGGTCTTCGAGTTGACCCCAGAGTGTATAGACACCAACATAATGCAATCGTCGAGAGAACAACTGCTGCATGCGGACATCAGCAAAGCTTGCGGGTTTGTTCCAATGTCTTGCAACACCAGGCGAGGTACACCACCCAAGCAATCAAATCGATTCTCCCACACAGCTGCTGCATGTGGATACATGGGAGCAATTGTCGCCAGTTCTTCTTTCGACCACAGTGGCATGTAGAAAACATCGGCAGTAGGAGGCTGCTTCTTGAACTCACCGATGCAGTCTCGTCGCGGTGTGCTTGCGAGAAGAACTGAGCATAGCCGGTAGGGAAGCCCAGGGATACTTGTTGGGTCCATCGAATCAACAAGGCACCACAGATCAGGCGACCAAAACTGTTCATTAAACTTGCTTGGCAACGCCAGACAGATCAGCATCGTCGATCCATCGAAGTAAAAGAGCTTATTGTTGTCGAAAAGCAGCACGCGCTTCTTCTCCTTGATCAATCTCCACAGGACATAGTAGACGAACACCGACTTTCCAACCCCAGGCGTGCCCGTGACGACAGCATACTTGACCATGCCCACATTTGGATTGAGCAGCGCTTGGTTGGCGATCACTTGGTACGAAGAGCGAATGTAGAGCTTCTGACGTCTCGTTAGCGGCAGCAACGACGAAAACTCGAGCCAATCACCAACTTGGTCAACTGTCGGGAATTGTAAGAAGAATGGATCACTGCAGTGGTCGAAAACACCGTCTAGAGAGACTGTTGGAACCGAGGACCCTTGCTCCGGAACCACCACCAGCACGTGAATTTGCTCACTGGATGGAAGCTCCATGTTGTTCTTCGTGTAAAACCACGTTGTTACGGTCTTTGAGCCCAGAATCGGTTCTCCGGCCGTCAGCGCATGGATGTAGTCATCAGATTCTCCTTCCACCAGCTTCAGAGCAGCCCGATGTTCGTCTGGGAGCCACTTAAGATTTTCCTCCTTCATCTCCTCCGCAGAAGGGCGGTAAGCAGGGACGACCTCTTTGCCGCTCTCATCTTCGACGGACTGCTTCGCCAGAAGAGCTGCAGCTCGTCCGCAGGAAACTGATACATCTTCTTCGAGTTGATCGCATCCTTCAACTTGCTAACCTTCGCGCCATCGTCAATCTCCACATCGAACGAGCTTCCTGCCTGACCGACAATCGCGCACTGCAGGGAAACCACCACCATCTTTACTCGAGACGGCAGGTTCTGGAATGAGGAAGAAGGGAGGGAGAATTTCTGGCGTACTTAAGCGGAAAAGAAAGCGCGTGACATAGATTTTCAACCAATGATGAGACGCCACGTCGCGCTGGTCCGAGCTAATCCTTGAGGTAAAAATCTGCCAGCGTATTGCTTTTATCAATGGCACGTGTTGCTGCAACCGCCTGGAAGCCGTGAGACGGGACAAAAGTACCCGACCAACGCCCGACTGCACCGGCGGGTACCCGACTAGTCAAAAGCCAGTTTGCCCACCCTTTTTTCGCGACAGCGTATATACGGATATTAATAAATGTATCTTAGCTAAGTCAAGCAAGCGCTTGTGTACCAGAGCATGCGAACTTCTACAAGTATGAAAGAAGGTAAATGTATTTTATTCAGTGAAGACACTAGCAAAGATATCTATAGCGCAGATACATCAGCAGCATCTTGTTCATCCACTGAACTTCTACAAGTCTGAAAGAAGGTAGATGTATATTTTTTAGTGAAGACACAAGCAAAGGCATCTATAGCGCAGATACATCAGCAGCTTCTTGTTCATTCACTCGAGTGGTGGCGCACCTGTGAACTGCTCAAATGCAAGCAAAATAAACAACCCGCAGTTATAGTTGCTCAATTAAATCCCCATGTCGGATTCGTACGCTTGCACTCGAAACCTTTCTCCCGTGGTTGTTGCTAGCATAGGTCTAAGTCGTTCTGCTACCACTCGAACGCTGGCCACGTAGCTTGATTTCATTGGATCGTAGATATACACGATACGTTTTGCGATGTCGATCATAATAGCACACCAATGGTTCGAATTGCTGCTGATCGGTATGAGTACACACTCCCCGGTAATTGTCGACAGAATGCTCTCGACAGTCTCAGCATCCATTGAAATATTCCTTCCCACAGCCCACCCAAACAAACTTGGGGTTATCACCACCACTCGCGGGTTGTTTGAGTATAGTTTTCCAAACTAGACTTAAGATGGAATCGGTAAGATTTCCCCGTCCGACACGATCTAATAGGTCAAACTAAAAACAA